AAAAAAAAGAAACACGGATTATGAAAATCCGTGTTTGTATTAAAAATTTAATTAGAAACACGGATTTTCAAAATCCGTGTGTTTGATTGATTTCCACCAATTTTTTTTTTTTTATTTTTTTCCACAGATTTTTGTTTTTTTTTCAAATAAATAATGCACCCCTTCATATACCATTGGTATGATTATAAATAAATAAGAAGAAGATTGCTAAGTTAGAAGAGTATAAAGAAAAATTTTAAACAAAATAATATTTTCTGAAAAAAAATCCAAGCTAAAACCTTTTTTTTTAATATTTATAATTGCATCTCATTTTTTATATAAATATAAATTCTCAATTTAATGTCACTATGCTTATATTCTAGTATAATTTTTTGAATTAATATTTAATATTAAGTAAGATAATAAAATAATATATGGTAAAAACTAGTTGAAATTGCTTTCTATATAGAGAATGGTGTTCCTTAATTTATGCGCAATAAGTTAATTAAAATATAATAATTAAATATCTCTATAGATTAAGTTTATTATATAATATCAATTAGAACAAAAATATTATAATATAAATGGAACAACAAGTGTTGTTAAACATAAATGATAATTTTTGAATAATTATTTTTTTTAAAAAAATAGGCAGAACTTTTATCTAACTACTCTATTAAAGAAAGAACCTTCATTAGCCTTCATTAGACTAGATTAACTATTTTATTACAAATTTTTCAACATATCAAACTACTAATCCTAATTCTATTCATTCATACTTGAAAATTATAAAACACTTTAATTAATTTAAATTATTTTGAATATATAAATAAGTGGGTGTTCTTCACTTTTTCCTTTTACAGTCGCTCAGTCATCCCTTCGCCCGCTATCTTCAAATTTAACACCTGCGAAACCCTAATTGACCCCACCCGCCGGCTATGGACGGAGCTCAGTTACTCGATGATGGATTCCCGGCGGTGAGGCTCTTCAGCCAGGGATACTCCTACACCTACGATGACGTCATCTTCCTCCCCCACTACATCGACTTCCCCACCGACGCCGTCTCCCTCTCCACCAAGCTCAGCCGCCGCATCGCCCTTGCCACCCCTTGCGTCGCCTCCCCCATGGACACCGTAACCGAGTCCTCGATGGCCGCTGCCATGGCCTCGCTCGGCGCCATCGGGATCATCCACTCCAACACCACCGCTTCCCACCAGGCCTCCTTGGTCCGCCGCGCGAAGTCGCACAAAATCCCCTTCAGCCACGAGATCGTCTACAAATCCCCCTCCGACACGATTCTATCGAGTGACGATTTCGCCGATGCTCCCTGCCTATTCGTCACGGAGGACGGGACCCGGAGCTCGAAGCTGTTAGGAACCGTGTCAAGATCCGATTGGATCGAAATTATAGCCCCGGACCAAAGGGTTTCCGAGTACATGAAGAAGTCAACAGTTTCTCTTCCAGCTGGGTACAGCTTCGAGGATGTGGCGGGCTATTTAGCAACAAACGAGCTGGAATTTGTGCCGCTGGTTAGAAATAACGGGGAGGAGGGAGAAGAAATAGTGAATGTAGTTTCGACTGGTGATGTCGAGAGCATTCGAGGTTTTCCGAAATTGGGGCTGCCTTCTGTGGGGCCCGACGGAGAGTTTCTGGTAGGGGCGGCCATAGGTACAAGGGAAACGGATAAAGAGAGGTTGGAGCATCTGGTCAAAGCTGGGGCGAATGTGGTGGTTCTTGATAGTTCTCAGGGAAATTCTATTTACCAGATCGAGATGATCAAGTACGCGAAGAAGATGTACCCGGATTTGGATGTTATAGGTGGGAATGTGGTGACTGCGTACCAGGCACAAAACTTGATTCAGGCTGGGGTTGATGGATTGAGGGTAGGGATGGGTTCGGGCTCCATTTGTACAACTCAAGAAGTTTGTGCCGTTGGGCGAGGGCAGGTAATTTTTGCGAATTTATGGCTTGGCGGCTATTATCCTAAGGCATCTGATTTGTAGTAATATTAGTGAAAGCTATGCTGATGCCTAGATTTGCTTGAGTTGTACAAGAAATTGGTGTTGAACTGACCGATGACAACAATTTAGTGTTTTTTTGGGGGGATTACTGACATATGAACTTAATTATAATGTTTTTCAGGCAACTGCTGTTTACAAGGTTGTATCTGTTGCAGCTGAAAGCGGTGTGCCTGTGATTGCGGATGGTGGCATCTCAAATTCTGGCCACATTGTCAAAGCTTTGACCCTGGGTGCTTCAACTGTAATGATGGGAAGCTTTTTAGCTGGAAGCCATGAAGCTCCCGGAACTTATGAATATAATAAGGTTCGGCAGTCATTTTTATTTTTTTTGTTAAAAAATATTGAATTTAATGCATATTACCCTTATGGAGTTTGTATAGGTTGTATCGTTTGATTTTCGTCTAGATGACCTATAAGGATCTGATAAAATAGTTGTTGTGATGTAATCTGCTTGCCAAGGCCAAAAGATCATTATAGACATCCATATAATACTGCTTTCTCTAGCTATTTTTTTTAAACATCCATATACACCTCTTTCATTTTCTTGCTTCTGCCATGTTGCAATCATGACATATTCCTTCCCAAGTTTCCAGAACCGTGACTTTTGCTCTTTTCTCTTTTTGTTCCAACCTCTTCCTTTTGTTTCGAGCCTTTTTTGTGTTTCTCTTACCATTGTTTTCTCTTGGGTTTCATCTCTAGCCTACCCTGACTTGCTTGGGACTAAAGGCTATGTTGTTGTTGTTGACTTCATGAAGAAAGTTTCCGGGGGTGAACATGTGTTTGTTCTTCTACAATCCACATTATTCCCTTATTAATCATATTTCCTTTCTTCTTTTCTTCTCTTTTTTCGTCCTTCTTTTTCGAATAACAGCATGGTCAGAGAGTGAAAAAGTATCGAGGTATGGGATCCCTCGAGGCAATGACGAAGGGGAGTGATGCTCGTTACTTGGGCGATAAAGCTAAGTTGAAGATTGCTCAAGGGGTTGTTGGTTCTGTGGCTGATAAAGGATCAGTATTAAACTTCATCCCGTACACAATGCAAGCTGTAAAGCAGGGATTTCAAGATCTTGGTGCTTCTTCCCTGCAGTCCGCTCACGATCTCTTGAGATCAGGCGTTCTAAGACTCGAGGTTTGTTTTAAAAGCAAAAGTAGGCTAGAGTTGGAAATACAGAACTATCCTTATTATTTCTTTTAAATTGAAAGTATCACTTGATCATTGGTATTGGTCTCTGTTCTACAAATTGCCCACTCTATTGGAAACATGTGTGATTTTGAAAGATTGAGATTAGCCCCTTTTCTCCTTTTGGTAATTAACTAGACTCCTCAAGGGTAGTAAACAATGGGACATGTGAAGGAACTTTGACAATTTCGTTTAATGCAGTTAATCCATCAAACTAATAGTTTTTTATGCTATTCGGCAGGTTAGGACTGGAGCAGCTCAAGTAGAAGGTGGAGTCCATGGGTTGGTTTCGTACGAGAAGAAGTCCTTCTAAAATCCACCTTATTCAATACAATCTTTTTTAAATAAGTCCCGATTCAGGTAAGTTCGTTTTTATTACTGATCTTCTGCAGTACCCTTTCCAGTGAAAAGTTGGCACATTCGGAAAGTTGTTCCAGATTGCCCAAAAGAAATTTGATTTTATTAAATCATAAAGTGATTATATTATAAAACCAATGCTAAAATAAAAGGCACAGAATTGGCTTGTAGAGATTATCATTGTGTGGACATTCGTAATTTATCATGTTTTAACCTTTTCAGATGTATTTTTGGAGAGATATGTTCCTGCCGAACTCAGCTCAACGTCCTAACATGGTTTCCCTTTTGAACATTTCTAATTGATTTGTATGAATGACTATCAAAGATTGCAGAATTCAGACTTAGACAGACTGAAGAAGATTGTGGTATCATTATGTTTGTTTGTTTGGCATTTATGCGATGAATATTCATCTTTTCGCATTCTAATGATTAATTGATTGTAATCAATTAATCGAATGTACCCTTCCGCATTCGAAACCATAATGGCCAATATTATATTACTACAAATTCAGATACTTTTATTAAATATTAGAATACTCTGGAGGTACAACAAACTGAAGTTTATGATCTGCATATGGAAAAAAGACAGACAATCAATCAAACCTACACACTGCAATGGAATGTGCTACTAATCAATCTTATTTATGTTGACAGAATAGTATTAATTCTATTTTACGAAAGAAAAGTGTTATTATTTCTTCTTATTTGTTGAACTCCTCTCTCTAATCATAGTATTCGGAGTGTTCCGACTCTAGCATTTGGTTGCATTATATTCAACTCTAGGAACTTTGATGTGAGATTTATCCCCTAAAATTTTTGGCAACACCTGAATTTCTTTGACAACACATGATAATGATGAATTTTGTTGATGGAACGTTGAAAAGTGAAACTACTGCAAATTAATCGTTACTATATCATTGTGTAATATTCGGCCCCCCATTGTTGTGGACTTCGGCCTTACTGGACTGTACTTCTCCAAATATGTATGTATTTCAGCTAATTTGGGCTTGATTGTAGAGAGTAACGTGGGCTGTTTTGCATACGGGGATCTAATATCTTATTGTTTTTTAGTGTATGCTTCTTCATTATCATTAGTATACAAGTGCAATTTTATTGTGAAAATTAGTATATGTTTTTTTTTTCTGTTTTTTTTCCCCATAATAACAAACTATTTAGTACATGTTATTAAAACTAGTGCGTGGTCCATGCGATGCACGGGAAAATAATATTACGATTGTATTATAAATTAAATATATAAATAACATTAATCATGATTTATCTATTATTTTTAAATTAAACCGGGTTGGACACAGTCCGACTGGATGCACCGAGAACCGGTTTATAATCAGTCTAGTTCGCTCGAATAAAATATTTGCTCTCGAATCTGTCAATACAAGTCGGTTGGACTGATAGGATCGATACGATTTTTTAAATAAATTTTGAAATTATTTTAAATAAAATTAAATATTTAAATAAAATAGAGATTTATAAATTATTTATCAATTTAAACATTTGAATTTATAAATTGTTTAGATATCTAAGTAACACATTTTATTTAAATTTATTACAAAAAGTACTATATATATATATATATATCTATTAAAATGTTTATAAATTAAAATCTGAACAAACCACAAATGATTTAATAAAATAGCTTGATCGTTTTGATGATGGTCCAGTTCTAAAAACCTCATATATACTGCACATTAATAATTATTATAATAAAATATTATTTAATTCACATAAATATTAATAAAATGATATATAAGTATTCATAAATCATTAAACATGTTGTCATAAAAGTATTGTTAATACGATTATTTGAAGTTTGGACTACATCACATTCACGTAATAAAATATTTTTAATATAAAATTTATATTTAGGTTCAATAATCGATTTGGTGTGGTCGAACTGATACATAACTTAGTCACCTGGGACTAACCATGTTGTGTCAATTTTTTTGACTATCTTAAATATCACCTAAAAGTAATTCAATCAACCTCGGCAGTACCCTAATTCAATCACCCGATTGATCCGAAGAAATTTTCTTATTTTCTTTAAATATATTTAATTTTATGAAATAAAAATATTTTATGATTCATATAATAAATGTCTACACCAAATGATATCATATTAAGATTATAAATTATATAGCTAAAGATGAATTAATTATTTTTACTTTATGCATATCAATAAAAAATAAACATAGTAACTTTAAAAAAATTAAGACTAATTGATTGATTATGCAATTTAAGAATATTTTTAGCGTTCAATATATTTTTTTAAAGGCACAAATATAAAGACCGAGATTCTAAAAGTTTTGTTATATTTTGAATTGAGATTTTATAAATGTAGAGACCAAGATTTTAATGTTGTTCATTATTTCTAAGAAAAAACTAAAAATAAAAACATACACACTTAATAAATCTTAGCTGAATTCTTTAAATAATAAAATGAACTAAAACCTGAAATTTAAGGTAGAATTTAATGTTGTATGATTTTTAAAGAAAAAAAATAATAAAAATAATAAAACTTACTATTTATAAGCTGCATTAAATTCTGACCTATTTTTTTGCTACTATTTTTTGTAAATGGTAATTCTTATTATATATATATATATATATATATATATATAGATAGATAGATAATAAATTAATTAATTAAGATGTGGACATATTTTGGACGTTTTGAATAAATAAGCTACGTAGAATTCAAAATATGATTACTCTTAAGTGATTAGATTTTCCATCATGAGTTATCCAAAGATTATTGTTCCAATATCATCTCTACACCATTAATTTTGAATTCAAATTGTGATTTTTCCGTGAATAATAAACTATAAGTCTACACAATTATTGTTTTCAAGTTTTCTATAAATAGAATGTCAAAAGTATTATTTATTTGATCAAAAATTTTCGAAAAGGATTTATCCAACAACTTTTTTATATATAGATAGATGACACAATAATTATATGCATTATTTGTGAAATTACAACAAATTAAATTAAAAAAAAAAAAAAGATCTATAA